CTAAGTATTGCGGAGCGAAAATTTCAAATTTCGCATCACTCTAGTATGCACCCACCAGACTTGGTCAGCAGATTGTCATACGGCTTTCGAGCACGGTATTCTGCTCGAGTGATCGATTTGCCTACTGGTGCGGTTTTGCCTGTAAGCCTTCGCGTTAGCGAATTCGCTGCACTGTACCACGAGCGGCATCATGATTTTTACTCAAATCGCGATCGGACATATCTGGGTTGCTCCTGATGGACCTCACGACCTTTCCATGGAGCTGACGGTTGGCAGTTCCACTCCAGCGTTTACTTTGAGGCTTCTGATTCGTCGTCAAGGTTTCCCTGTACGTTGTGAGCACGTGCCATAGGTGTTTCTTGGAAAATTCAATACTTCAGTCACGAAAACCACGATGGATTTTTTTTGCTACGCTCCTCTGTCTCCAAAATAAGGGCGTTTTATGAACTATGAAAAATACAATAAAACGTTCACTAGGAGCGCTGTAATAAGCAAAAGAGTTTGTTCCATTACTAAGTGCGCCGGTTTAGTAATTTTGACTGTAAAAAAAATAATATGCCGTTGCCATGACAACGACAAACAAGCCTGTAGTCAACTATTGATTTACTTAATTTTGTAATTTTTCACATTTTTAGCCTTCTTGAATGGCTACCGAACTTGTCATTGGCTAATGACAATGTGTAGAATGCTTGCGTAAAAAGACTAGGGTGGGAAACGGATTCGAAACTCAAATGTTATTAGCCAAATAAATCCATAGACCATATAGGTACTCCGTTGTATAATTGGCAATGCACCCGTGTACTGAATGGGAATTGCGGGTTTGAATCCCACCGCCCAACTAACAATTTTAGCTGCAGATCACCTTATACAATCAAAAATTGGCTTATACAGCTATTTGTTGCCTGTATAAGCTAGTCTGCAGCTAAAATTGTTTGTTGGGTGGTGCCCTTAGATTTTTTCGCAAATTTTCTCACACACACGTTTCTTACCGATGATATGTGCTAACCTCAAACTATCTTATAAACAATTATATATTAATTTTTGTACAGCGTTGGGACTACTTGAATCAAAGTTAAAGCGATTTTCCATAGTAATTCCCATACAAACTTCAAACCATTTGCGCGACCTCTAAACCTTCATAAATCTTTGCCATTTTTGCACAGACTCATATTACTGAATAAAACTGAAGGGTGGCCTATAAGATTTCTGATCATTTTTTTTTCAAACCGAAGCACCCTAATGACCATTAAAGGGTGCCCCACATCAAATTGCATTACGGAAAAAAACACTGTAGAAAATTACCCATTGGGTATTTTTCCTCGAAAATTTGGGTAGAAGTAGTTTAGAGTGTATTGTTTACACTGTATTTTTATCGCTGTCAGTTTTTCGAAAGTTGGAAAAAATGGCGTCACCCGAAAAGCAACGTCGCGAATTGATTTTGCGCAAGCACCTGAAAAATCCTCAACTCTCTCATCGGGACATCGGAAAACAACTCGGAATCGTGCAGTCAACGGTGAGTCGTGTGATTTAAACGCTACTAAAAAACTCTGAGCATCGAACGGAAGGAGAAATGCGGTCAGAATGGATGTGATCAGGAGCACAAGCGTATCGTGAAAGCGTTAAGGCGGAATCTCATTGCGTCGGTCAGGGATGTGACCAAAAAGTTGAATCTGTCCAAGTCTTTCGTTCAGAGAGCCAAGGACCGGGAGGGACTGCATACATACAAAGTGCAGAAGGCTCCAAATCGTGACGAACCGCAAAATACGGACAAAGCCTCATTGTCTCATCATGGATCATGACACTTACGTCAAGGCAGACTTCCGGCAGCTTCTGGGGCTACGGTTCTCACCGCCCAGCATAAGTTTGATGTACCGGAGGAAGAAACTTTCAAAGTTTGCCAAGAAATATCTGGCAAACGGAGTGCGCCGTTCGTGACTACCGGGATTGAAAACGGGGAGATCTACCTCAAGGAGTGTCTACAGACGCGTTTGCTTCATCTGTTGAAGCAACACGAGGGCCCTACGATCTTCTGGCCGGATCTAGCTTCGTGCCACTATTCAAATGTTGTCCTGAAGTGGTACGAAGCCAACGGGGTCACTTTCGTGCCCAAAGACATGAACGCACCGAAGCTAAGGCCCATCGAAAAATACTGGGCTATTATGAAGCAGGCAATACGGAAGCATCCCAGGAGGTCTAACATGAGGAAGAAATGAAGAAAAAGTTGGTTCCCGTACAGAGAAGCTGAAGCTAGATGTTGTACAGAACCTACCCAATAAACAATTTGAGTTGATTAACAGCTGAATAAGCTATTTTTTAGCTGAAGACGCTTGTTTTTGCCTGAATAAGCTCTTATTCAACATTCAATGTTTGTTGGGTAATGAGTGGAGTTAAGTGTAAGGTGTGAGCTTACGGTTATGGTTTTAATTACCGTAAAATTCGCAGCTGCTACTCCGTGCTTAAGAAACTTTTCATATTTGTTTTCCTTTAAAAATCCAGACTACCTTTTGAAAAGGGCCGAACTAATTTTACAAAAAATAATTACACAAAAATTTGTTCAAAGATGGAATTGTAGAAAATTGTCTGAACGTTCATAAAAAAATTTAAATAGAAATATCCCCAAAGAGAAAAATAAATTAAAAGTGTTGGTTGGAAATGCTAACATGAAGCTTTAGTGTGATAATTTATTAGCTAGAGAATGATCTTTTTGAAGAGGGTAGGTGGATAGTTCCGTTAGAGTACGGCAGTATGAAAATTGAATAGAAGTTGAAAATGAGCGAAGGGCCATTAATGCGACAGTTTTTAAAGATAGACGCACATCTTTTGCCTAACCCGTACGATGTACGCGGAGACTTGAAGTATGTCTCCAAGTCTACAGGCAAAAAATAGGGCATTTTGACATGCATTTAAACTGCTTGATTGATTTCCTTTATTTAGGAAATTATCATCCGTAGGGTGGTTCATCTTCGAATGCATACATACTAGACCTTTTCATTTTTATAAAAAAAAGTCCGGATCCCACCGGTCAACCAAATTATTGTTCCTCATGTTAAGTTGAACTTCTAGACAAATTTTCAGGTAAATTTTGCTTCGAGTAAATTTTGTTATTTTCCGGTAATTTATGTATTTTCATATTTGTACCAGCTTGCATACTAAAGCAAAATATGTGTTCTACCAACTCTGTAAAAAATGAGTTGATTAAGAATTAATTTATTGCATTTTGACTTAGTTTCTGATATCATGTAATATAAGCTATCTTGCAATGAGCACTCCTGCATAGGGTTTCCAGTGAAAACTTGATGTATGAGTGTTCATTGCAAAATAGCCTATATTACATGATATAAGCTATAGTCTGAACGTACTATTAGAGATGTTCAAAAAAGCAAATTAAATTATTTCTTTTACAATTGTGATATACAAATATGCACGTTACGACTTGTCTTTCACAGATTAATTGATAAAAATCTAAAAAGAGGTTCCAATGAATAAAATCCACTGCACAACACAGTCAAGAAGAGGGGCAATTTAGCAACCAAATGTAATAGACTATGTACTCGAATTTTTATGAGGTCCTGGATTTGGCCAAGTTTTACAAAGTATGAAATCCAAAATATGTACATAGGAACGACATAAAAGGTTACTTAAGCTGTATTTAAAATCAATATAAAAAAAATCTAAATTTTTTTGAAATTTTGTCGTGCGAATGAATAATTCTTTTTTTTTCCGTTTCCCATACAAATTTTAAAGCTTTCCCAAATCTAGATCGTAACCTAATTCATTCAAATTTGGCACAGTTGCTGACGATCCCAATACGAATCGAGAGAGCTGTGGGGAGCCGGGGGTTGTGATCCGCTATATAAAATTGACCCACCCTAGTGGACACCCTGCACATATCTTCTAAAGCATCATTCTCCAAAATCGTGAGAATGCAATATCGCTCCTCCCAAAGGGGTCTCCCTTATCTCAGTTGGTACAGGCGCAGCTACAAAGCAAGACCATGCTGGAGGTGGCAGGGTTCGATTCCCGGTCCAGTCTAGGAATTTTTCAGCTTGGAAAATTTCTTGACTTCCCTAGGCATAGAGTATGAATAGTACAGTCATCGAAAGCTCTCAATTAATAACTGTGAAAGTGCATCTTAGAACACTAAGATGAGCATTCACAATAAGCTAATAAGGGATAAGAAATAACCTTGAAATGCGAGGAAGAAAAAGAAGAAGAAGAAGGAATATCACTCACAAATTGTTTTTTCCCTTGATTTGTTTTCCGTCGATCACCAATGCTACCGACGCCAGGGAGGCAGCTCCCACGCATGGACCCTACCTATCGACCCATCAACTCATGAACCGGGGACCAACGGCTTTACTTCCCAGAAATTTTATGCCTCAGAACATCCCGGCGGCGCCGACTGGGATTGAACCCAGGCCTGCTGGGGTGATAGGTAATCACGCTTTCTCACAAATCTCACTTGGATAAAATTACTCTCCAGGTTATAGAGCGACGTGAAGAAGCAGTCTATTTTTCCTGCAGTCCAAATTAGAACCCGATGTAGAGTAAAATGTCTAAAATTTGAATCAGTCTAATTGTACATCCAGCAGTGACTCACATAGTACCATCCAACCATCCTCCACAACCACCGAAAGGATAAAATACATTCTCTTCGCCGCCGCTCACGACAACCAAAGAGATTCTCAGAGGTCACGGTGGTAGGTGGTAGGTGGAACCGTGGCCCCCGGGGTGTATTGAATGGCCCCCCCAAAAAAAGAGTGTTCATAAAAACCGAGCGCGTGCAATGCATGTATACGATTGTGTGTGCGTGTGTGTGTGTGTGTGTGCTGGGTTCGTTGGTTTAGCGCGAGCGAATGTGGCCGTTCCGTCTGTTCGTCGAGAGGCAAAGAGAGAATCCGAGATTGCATCTGCTGTTCTATTTAGTGCGCTAGGGGCTGCGGCTGCTTTTGCTGGGCTGGGTGTTCAGTTTGAGTCCGTCGGGAAGGAAGAAGGTGAACTAGTACGCTTTTTTTTCCGAATCTTGAAAACCCCCGCGTTAGGATTTATGGGGGCATTTTCGTTCTGCTTTTCCATCTGTGATTCGCCTCGGAGCTTGGTGCTAGTGGTGGAGCACGGAAAATGGCCTTTTGTTGTTGGACTGAGTCTAGTCGTGTCGATGACGATGAAAGTGGCTGTACTCGCAATGGAATCGTGCTGTCGTCGTCGTGATATAATTAATAAACGAGGTAAATAAGCGTTCTCCTAACCAACAGGTCCTGGAGATTGTTCCCACGGGGTGCCAGGAGGAGGCCCACTTGGAGACGAGCGGTGATTGCTGAACCAGCTGAAACGGTTCCGTGCCGAGTGTGCCGAGAAAAAGGAAAAATCTGGAAAATCTTCCCCTATATACAGTTGGAGTGTTTTTGACGGAAAACCTTTCGGAACAGAGATTATATAAAGATTACGCGATTGGTGTTGTTCATTTGCTTCCGACGGAGAGCGAAATTGTGGTGAGAAAACACGTAGTGGAAAGCGAGAAAACGCGGCCGGACGCGACAGTGGGGTGTGTGTGTGTGTGCGCGTGGGGTTTTGGGGAAAGTGCATTTCCCTCGAGCAGGTGGGTAGTGAAAGGGTGAACGAAAAATAGACGTCTCGTGATTTTCTGCGCTGCTCGCGTGTGTTTAGAAGTCCGAAGAAAGAAGGTGGTTGACGTCACGACCATCGAGTGCGTGACGACGTCGGTCCCCTTCGTCGTCGCGACGCGTTTAGTGTGCAGTAAGCAGAGGTTCGCACTGGCGAGATAATTGCCACCAAGCTGGAGGAACCGGACGTAATGCAACCGACCGAGTGTGCAGGGGTGCTTTCCCCGATGGTGGTCGAATCGGCTACTGCCCCCATTTCCGTGGTGCCTACTACTACTGCTTTGACTAATATTAATTCTAATGTGCCGTTGATGAGTGGCCATTTGACGATACTGTCGCCACCGTCTTCATCGGCATCGTCATCACCTTCGTCGTCACCGGAAACGGTTCGAAGTGCATCATCGTCAGTATCGTCGCTATCGCCGCCGCCACCGTCGCCGCCAGTGGTGGTAACGAAACAGTGTCAACAAGAAGACTCAGAAGAGGACGACGACGGCCAGGGCAGGGCCCCGCTGATGAAGCAACTGAATAAACTGCTCACCCCACCGGATGATCTGCTGCAGTGGAAGGACATGCCACAGCACTTGCAGTTCAACCCGTACGTCCTAACTGGCTACCGGCCACTGCAAGGCGTCAAAGGATGCCTCAGCAGTTTATTCTACGTGCATAACGAGACGATTAATATTTTAACACATGGTAAGTAGGAGGATTTTCCCCATTCAATTTATGTTTGTTGTAGCCAGTAACATATTATGCAGGCCAGATGATGGGATTTAGGGATGGAAATCTGTTATGGATGCAAGTCATACAGGGGGTGACGTGTTTGTCCTAGTTTCCGGGAAAAGGTTGATGAGTGAACCAAATCTTCCTTGCAGCGTCATTTTTCGCTTTAGACTTCGCAATTTAACAAGGCAAAATATTAAGGGTTTTTGATAATGCACGATACTACCATAGAGGTAACTCTCAGACTAGAAGGTCCCGAAGAAACGAGCTCAACTTTTTGGCTCAGCTTTGGTACTATCTTCGGTCCCAAGCTAATCGATTCACCCCTCGAAACATAGGAAAATACACTAACCCCTCATTTTATCTGTCAAACTTTCATAGCGAATCAAAACAAACATAGTGTAGTATGGAATTTATACTAGAATGGGGTACGTTAGTCGATTTGCTTCCCGCATAAACGCGAACCATAAATTGACCTTACCTAAAATGGTTAAAAATTGTTTATAATCCCTGCTAAACTTTAACTGAAATGGTTATGGAACTATACATGAACGTTTAATGATAAAGTTTCAACCTTATGTATTATAGTTTTTTGGAACTGGACCTTACAAATAATGGGTTGTTAAGAACCATTACCATTCCAAATTCTTGTTTTCTCCATACATTTTCAGAAAGAGAACTATATAAGAACGTTTTTACTTATGATTTGAGAACATTAATGGTAATGGTTATGGTAGTCAGTAAGGTCCATTAATGGTTTTGTATTATCGCTCAACTTTACGTGGAATATATCGTGAATTGGTAATCAGTAAATTACAGGCAACCAATTCGCGATATATTCCACATAAAGTTGATCGATGTTGCAAAACCATTCGTGGACCTTACTGACTACCATAACCATTACCATTAAAGTTCTCAAACCATAAGTTAAAAGGTTCTAATATAGTTCTCTTTCCGAAAATGTATGGAGAAAACAAGAATTTGGAACGGTAATGGTTCTTAACAACCCATTATTTGTAAGGTCCAGTTCCAAAAAACCATAATACATAAGGTTGAAACTTAATCATTAAACGTTCATGTAAAGTTCCATAACCATTTCATAAGAACGCGGCAGAGCAGGGTTTTGTTTCTCTCTCGTTAGTGATTGCTGTGTCATTACTTCTGTCGAAGCACGCACATAACCTAAAAATTTTATTACATACACACATTTCCGTTGGATGGGATTCGAACCATGACCTTTCGATCACCAGCCGCTTGCCTTGCCATCTGAGCTATCCTAGAATACATCAAAAGGGCAGCTAAATAAGTATTAAAGGTTTAAATTTGAAAACCTATCAGCACTCCCAGTCGTAACTCTAGCTAATTGTGAGAATGATGAATTCATTCATAGTTGTTTAACATGAGACCAACGTTACCTCTCCATCTCTCTAATTTCGATGGAAAGGATGCTATTCTTTTCAATACATCTATGAATTGGTTGTCGTAAGTGATACGATCTATGATTACGATTTAAATTAATTAGGCGTAGAAAATAAATAAAAAAAGGGTTGAGGTTGGGATTGAACTCGCGACCTTCAACTTGGAAAGCGGAAACGGTAACCACTATGCTACCAATTTCGTTTTGTTGTTAGCCTGAAGCAGTGTTTAGGAATAATGAATGAATACGCCGTTTGTAAAGCATTTACAAAGCATGAAATTATAACATGGACGCATAGTGGTATAAGAGCTATTTTGCTGACTGTATTCACCTTTATACAGCAATATTGTAAATCAATGCAATTGAATCTAATAATGGAGCTAGAAAACAGTCATAAGACGTCTAATAAAGCATTTTATTAAATCTATTGAAAACAGTCGAATTAAAGCGACAATGTATGCGCAAATTACACTTATTCAGTTTGTTATTAGATCAAACCTCTGGTTCTGAATCAGAAAGACAGTCAACGTCTATAAAGCTTTTAATAAGTAAATTAATCATATCAGAGCAAACGGTGGAATAAAGGCGCATCTATCGATCTCAATAAGCTTTTTTCAGCACATAATTCAACATCCTTTTTTATTCAGCATTGTACACTGTTATACAGCATTTATTCAATGTGTATGCTTATTTGTGACTTTGAATTGTTTATTGGGTATGAACACAAAATTTGGTTTTCCCATACTAATTTCGATATAAACTTCATAACGTTTGTGCCAAGTCAGTTTCTTAATAAATTAGTTCAACTTTTGGGAGGCTAATCAGCACCCAATTTGGAAGCATTTCAAAATTTGCATCAGTCTAATGGATAGGTGCAATGCCCTACGTGCCCTGCTCTGTAGAATTACTAGTGCGCATACTTTCAATGTTTTCACAAAGCCCTGCATGATCTAATCCAATCTACCGAGAAAATCAGTTAGCTTGATTTCTGTGTTTAAATATTCAGCACAATTCTTCCACAATACATGCAACCGTTTCCGGATCCTTGCTTTCAACACAAGGAACTGCACAAAATTCTCCGCCAACGGTAAACACGTTGATTGCATGTCAATTCCGAGCCAACTGACTAGCTATAAAACATAGTAATTGTAGCGGTAGGTCCAATAGACCACACCAACAGTAGTAGGGGTAGACGGGGCAAGGTGGCCACCCAAATGTTGACGTAATTTTCATATGTAATAATTGCAATGAATACATTCAGTCATTGTTTACCCTAGCCAGAGCTGATAAAAATCATTCCGTATACACTCAACTTAGCTGAAAATGAGGACAACCTTAGCAGATAGAGCAACTACCATTCTCTTGATTAAGACAACCTCTGAGTATCGAAGTTAACATTTGTTTTTCGTGGCTGGATTTTCATTATCACCTGTGTTGTTGTCAATATTAATATTCGTCTTCATCTTGGTGGGGATGATTTTGAGGATCTATGCATTGAGGATCCTATGAATTAAAACAACTCAATGTATTAAATTTAAGATTTTTTTAAATAAATTTAAAAAGTAACTTTTGAACACCGTTCTCAGACACCCCGGGGCAAGATGAGCAGGTTCTACAAAGGGTAATTAATTTTGATTGTTTATTCTTTTTGAAATTTCTTCAATCACCATCATTAGTATACACATACATTTATACATTATTAAGAAGTAAATTTAAAACAAGTGATTCATGATTTTAGAACAAAAGCATTTTGGGTAAAATCATTCACTGTATTTACTTACTTGTGTTTTTCATAGCATAGCGCAATCGAATACAATAAAATTTAGTGACTTAATTGATAAAAACTGCTTGTCGGATCTCTTAGTGAACAAAATTGAACACCAAGAAAACCACTTCAACTTCACTGCTTTGCCAGAAATCGCAAAATAATCATTGAACAAGCGTTGCCAGATATATTTTCTCTAGCAATGAATTTAAGTTTGATCAAACAAGCAATTGCAAATTCTTTTTAAAAAGAGAGGATTGTTTTCAGTCGGCACATTTTCAACACGTTTCTAAATCAGTGTTGGAACGTTGAATCTTCGGATCATTATTGAAAGCTACGTATGGGGTGCTCATCGTGCCCCGTCTACCCCTAATAGCAACCGAAAGCTATTAAATCATTCTTCCACCGCCGAGTCCTCCTCCAGCGCATTATTTCCTGCTTCAGACGAACGTCAAACCGATGGTCATTTGATTGTGAGCAGCCGGTCTGAATATTGTATGATTATATTCACCACGATTATAATGGGAGTTGCCCACCCACGGCACCGCCGCGCCGTCGATTTGTGTGTGAATATCCACGATTGATGGTTCTTCGATGATGATAAATTGTGTGCTGTGTGAGCAAATTTGCGTGAACGGTTGGCCGCGTGTGCGAAATCCTACTTAGAAAGCGGTTTTCGCTTCAAGAGTTCTCGATTGTTTTTGGTGGGCGAATTTGTTACAGCAGAGAGGACATCAATCTTTGTAATTAAATTCCTGGGAAAGATATCTGAAGCTTAATAGGTACATTTGGCTTTCACTTCGATGGAGACGCATGGTACGTTGTTCTCGGCGGGTGTAAACTGAAGTGTGTTACCTACCATCATGTAAACCCTAACTTCCCAAACCGTTCAACCCACTAAATGACACAAATCGGCCTTGACTGTCACTTGTCAGCATCGATGACGGCTGGATTTCTCTGTGCGGTCGTCGTCAGGGCGATAAACTAACTAGATAGACTGTTGTTCTAGGACAAAAGGGGAAAAGAAAACCACATTCCGCCTGCTTCGTCACAAAAAATCAAACACAAAAACGTGACAATACGCGTAAACTATTTATGGGAATCCTATTGGCAATCGAATGTTGCCGGGGGTGCAAAAATAACGACGAAAACCAAAGATAAATTTATCTTCCGCACGTCGATGGCAGCTTCGCAGATAAATTGGAATATTTATAGTTTTTGACGACGACCATTGGCCCTTGGGCGCAGCGGGGGCATCAGGGACGCTGTGTGCGTACGTTTTTTGGTTTGGAGAAAATTGATTGAGTGGGTCGATTTCGGGGTTCTTTGTTGCTTTTCTCAGAACATTGGGAAACAAGATAAAACCACATTTACGACGACGAACATCCATTGTTGCTGTTTGCTCATCAGGGCGACATGGGTCCCTTTTGACGTCATGTTTTATTAGGACCGACTGACTCCGACTAGTTAGGGAAATGGGAAAAATTGTGCCATTAGCTTTCCGTTGAAATGCTAACATAGTTGTTTACACATGGCATACTAAAGTTACTGTACAAACGGAATGTGGTTTTAGCTAATAACCTTAGATACAAGACCATTGACTGATTTCTAGAACCAATGACTTCCATTTACATTTCCAGATAACGTAATAGATTTTTCCTCTTTCTGGGAGTCCTCTCCGAGACCTTTTTCTTACTGATGTGGACCACGTGTTTCATTCGCTTGCTGAACTTTTGTACGTCAATAATACGTACGTACCATCAGAGAAAAAAGGAAATCCATTGAAAAGGT